AAAAATCTGAGGAGTCCATAGGCTTCAGAGAGACATTCTTGGGTCCAAGTTATGAAAAAAGGTAAACCTCAATCTAAGAGCTTTCTTAATCATCTTCCTTGCTAGTCTTCCTGCTTACAGTCAATCCCTTAGCCAGTCCAGCCTTCTCTCTGCCAAAATATGTCTTCTCATTAACAGAAAGAAGGCTGACCTTGTCACATACACCCCCTACTCAAAAACCTATAAGTTTCCTACTGCCTACTGGATAAAACAGAATTCCAACCTTTGGCATTTAAGACCTTTCCACAATCTAGATGATATGGTACCATAATGGCTACAGGTTCAAATCCTACCTCCCATGCTTACCACCAGGGTACTTTAGATAAGTCAATTTAACTTTCCTAGTACTCAGTTTCCTCATCTATAAAATGGGAGAGGTGGAAGGGTTGGACTAACCTGGAACCCATGACTTTGGTTGGTTTTCTTTTAAATTAGTTTTATAACTTCATTCCATTAGAAAGGTTTCCTTTGTAGTCCTATATATTTTATTTTATTCGTTTAAAAACATTATTCTGAGAAGCAGACCATCATGGCATTTGAAAGGTTAAAAACCTTTGGACCAGATGATCACCGAGTCCCTTGGAGCTCTAGATGTGTGATCCTAGTTTCTCACCACCATATTCCCATTCTGGCCCTCTATGTTTTAATCAAAATGGGCCCCTAACAGCTCCTTAATCTCATCCTGCTCTTTCCTGCCTGGAACACACTCCCTCCCCCTTCAGGAAACTTTTCCTTATCCCTCCCTTCCCAACCCCAACCAAAAGTCACTCCCACCTCAAATTTTGCTTAAGGGAGCTACAAAGTCATAGAGAACATAGATCATGTTCAACTCTCTCATTTTACAGATAAAGAAACTGAGGCCCCAAAAAAGCTGAGTGACTAATGAGGAAGGTCACATGGGTGCTGAGTGGTGGAGCCAAGACTCAAATATAGATATTCTGGCTCTAAATCCAGTACCCTTTTTTTCCCACTGTGAAACATCAACTTTTTATCATAATTTATTTGTGTCTTATCGCCTTCCCCTCTCCCAACTGGCTGCAGGTTCCTTGAGGGTATGAACTCTGCCTTTTTTCATTTTTCTATCATCAGCCTAGCACACTGACTTCCACATAACAATGTCTAATTAGGAGGTCTCTGGTGAACTTTGAGAAAAGTGTCAGCAGAATGATGGAGGTGGAAGCCAAACTTCGAAGGGGTGAGGAAAGAGTGGGTGGTGAAGAAATAGAAGTTACAGACAAGGAACCCGCCTTCAAGTAGTCTGAAGAGAGGAAGAGGTGGGCGAGGAAACCAAGGTCCCTCTTTTAGGATAAAGGAAACCCAAGCAAAAAAACAGCTGACTTAAAAGTCTCAAAGCCCTCTTAGTATCTGTCCAGGAGAAGAGGAGCATAAGAATCTCTTTGGAGGCATCTTGACTTAGAAAACCACATAATAACATAATCTTTATTTTGTTGTATTTTTATTTATTTCATCAAAAATTTCCCAATTACATTTAAATCTGGTTCTAGCAAAATTTGGAAGCATGTTTGCCATCTCTGGCCCAGAGCACATAAAGGTTAAGTGACTTGTACAGGGTCACATACACACACACAGTGTATCAAAAGCAGGATTTGAACCCTGGTCACACCAACAAAGGGCACCTCAAAAGGCATCCACTGCATGGATACTTCAATAACCTGAACACATCTCAGTACAATTTATGGAAAAAATCCTCCAAGTAACAGTGATATCCAATTGGAATTGAGCCTGGCTGATACTGAGAGGAGAACAGTAGGAAAAAGTAATCGATCCATTTCTAGTCACCCCATCCCAAGCACATTCAGACTCCCTGTTCTGGACTGGGTGTGCCCCAAGAAATAGAAGGCAAAGAAAGCATCCTAATGGGATTTCTCTTTGTCCTCTGACTTATCTATTCAGCACTTCAAAAAATGCTTTCAAATCCATTTAAATCAATAACAAATTCAGTAACAAAAATTAGTAAAAAAAAAATTAAATTTTGCATCTTTCTGAAAGCCCAGAAGCTCAGGATCACAGAAATCATAAAACTTTAGAACTCAGACAGACCTCAGAAAAGGTCATTTCCTCCATTTATAGAAACCAATAGTGGTGAGATCTTTCAGGATGTTTCTGAGAAACCCAGTTGAATCTAAATTATAGAAGTTTATCTCATATGACCCAGTCAACCCCTAAAGGGCAGATCTCAAAGAGGCCCAATCACCCTTATGCCAGACACTTCTTGAAACTGAGAACTCAGAATCTTCAGTTTTGGATTCCCCTTTGGAAAGGGGAACTTGGGACCTTCAATGTATTGTTGCCATGATGGGAGCCTGGGAATGTTAACTGAAAGCCCTCTCTCTAACATATTCCACTGTGAAAACTTAAAAAACTATGCCCCCCTTCTGGACTCGAACACAAGGGGAAAAAAACATACATAATATACAACACATCTGCACCTCCTTTTCCTCCAGCTAAATTTCTGGGTTTGCATTCCCTATAGTACAAAACTGGAGGGGGGTTGGGAGACAGGAGAGTACAGTGATTACTCTTACTTCCTCTTGCGTGGAGGTTACTGGGAGAAGGCAGTGGGGGCCAAACTGCTTTTTAGGATTTCACAAGTTCTTCTGGTGCCTGTGAAGCAAACAAGATATGGTGGGGCCAGAAGGGAGGGAAGTATTCAGCTGCATTATACATTGAAGGTACAATTTGGTGCCCCAAACACAGCCCAGATGGCTTAACATTCAATTATCTTCACACACCACAGTTTTCCCATTGCCAAAATCCAATGCTATAAATACACATACAAATGGCTCTCTTTAAAAACAGGGAAACAGTGATATATGTATCTGTTTTAGAGGTTTTTGTAAATGCTCTTAGCCAAGATTGCTACTCTCCTCCTAAAAACAAACTCGGGCAATAGATCCCAATTGTCTCCAATGCCCAGTTCACTCTAAGCACACTCCATTTCTTTCCAAACACTTCTCTACAAGAGATTCTAGCTCCCACATGGAGCCCTAAAGATGACACAATGTATGGATAGATTTGCTTGGCTTCAGACCCCAACTCCTTGGGTTGGCTTCATAACCCCTGGCAACCTGCACAAGTGCCCTAGGGAAAAGCAACCAAGATGGATAGTAAAAACAAATCTCAACTAGTGGATGAACTTCTAATAAGCACAAATCTGTCAACTGTATTTACATTTACACACGCCATTCATTAAAGAAAGGCCAAAACCTCAAAAGCACAACCTGAGCGACAGTAAAACTTGAAGCAGTATGAACTTGGAAGTTATAAGAAACCTGAGTTTGAATTTAACCTCCCACACTTACTAGTAGTGTGACCATGGGCAAGTCACTTACTTTTCCGAGCCTCAGTTTCCTCACCTGTAAAATGGAGATAGTTATGCATCTACCTCACAGAGTTATTGTGAGGATCAAAGAAATAATGAATATAATATGTTTACCATAGAAATGGCAGCTAATATAATTATTGCTACTTTAGTCTCTGAAGACCTACAATTTGAAACAATACCTCCACCTCCACCCAACGCCCCGTGCAGGAAGTTAGTTACAATGACTATTTAGTTATGTTACTGTCTCCTTCAAACATGGCTGCTCACAGCACACCATTAATTATATCCCAACACAAACAATGAGATTTTCAGGCTCGGGTCCCATTGATGCAACCACTCTGGTTACATCAGAGTCCACATTTACCGGTTTGAAAAATGTAAAGCCAAGGGATCTCACCCTTGGGGAGGTACAAGGCTCCAAGATCTCACTGAAAAGCTGTCAGAGGGAAAGAGATGGGAAAAAACCAACCAGTCATGCAACCACTGGCAGCAGCAGTCATTCACCAGCCAGTGGTCAAATACTAACCAACCCAAACCACTAAACCTTTCCACTCGTTTTCCCAATTTTAAGAATCGGGATAAGGGAGAACCACCCTCACAGGGCTGCCCGAATGAGGATCAACCTGGCCATTGTCAGAACTCAACGGGGGCCATTTGCAAAGAAAGAAAAGGAGTGAGGATTTCAGATTCAAAGTTCCTCAGGGCCTATGGTCGGGTTGTCTTTACCCAAAGAAACCCATTTCTTAGCCAGCCTCACTCAATTTACTTTTTAAAAAATGAAAGATCTTGCAGCTTTCAATGACCCACCGACCACCAAAGTAAGAAATTTTTACCTGCTCAACTGCTAACCCACTCTAAAGTTTCTCCCTGTGATAAAACCAACCTGTTCTGTCAGTCCACTTCCATATGGGAGACTTCTTACATAACTCGTAGCAGCTGCAACTTAGGACTTCAACACAGTGTAGGACACACAGTAAACGTTTAATAAATGCTTGCTGACTGACTGACCAGGGCGTAAAGTAGCAACCTCAGGGGAATAAGGGGCTTGATGCTTCCTTAGAAACATTTTTCAAACCCACTAACTTAAAAAAAAAATCGCCCTTCTTCCCCACCCCCCTGACCCGAGGGGGCATTCACAAGGTTTTTACTCAGGTCACTCGCCAGAATAAAGTCAGTAAGACCTGGTCTTCACTTTCCCTTCACAAGGGCCTGACCGATCTCTTTCTTCCTCCCCCACTTCCCAACTCTGGGGTGACACCCTGCAAACGAAATCTGGAGTGGGGCAGGAAAGGGAAAGGATCTGAAGTCTCGGGGGAGCCGGCGGGTGGGAGGCGGGGTCCGAGCAGCCGGGGCACTCCTTCCCAGAGAGGAGCCCAGGGCACAAGGAGGCTGCCCTCCGGGGTGCCAGCCGTGTGCCCCGAAGCGTGAGAACAAGTTGGAGGCCGAGGACTGAAAGCGAAAGGGGAGGAGGCTCGAGCGGCCGAGAGAAGCTGGGGTGGCTGGAGACAATGGGGGGAGGAGAGCCCAGCCTGGAGGGGAAGCCGGGCAGCGGCGCGCACAGAGCCCCTCGCGGGCGATCGGCGGGAAGCAGGGGCGGGGGCTCCCCAGTACTCACCCGCAGGGGCGGCGGCGGCGGCGCTCTGCCCCGGCCGAGGAAGTTTGAGCAAGTTAAGCCGGGAGGAGGAGGTGGCGAAGGCTAGGCTCACTCAATCCATCCGGGTGCCCCGAGCATCCGAAAAGGGGGCGGGAGAGAGGCGGAGACACTGAAGCGGGGCCAGAGCCCCGGGAGCTCGCGAAGGAACGAAGGCTAGCCTGCCTGCCAGCCTGGGCTCCGGGTCGATCGGCGTCCTGTTCCTGGCACGGCGGGGAGCGCAGCGCGTCGTGAGGGAAGGAGGCACTGGAGGCTGGGCGCGCTTCAGGGCCCACGGGCGGCGCTAGCCCCCTTCGCTGGATGGACGGACGGACGGACGGACGGATGGATGGATGGATGGATGGATGATGGATGGATGGGTGGGTGGGTGGGTGGATGGGCGGATGGATGGATAGCTTGCACGTCCCGATATTCACAGAGCCAAGCCTGGCCCCCTTGTTGTTATCTGAGAAGAGCGGAACTTCCTTGCACTGCTGGTCTGCCCGCCTCTGGACCCTGCCGCCCCGCCCCGCGCCCCGCCCAGTCCCTCAGCCCAGCCCAGGCCCGCCAGCTCGGGGACCTGCGCCCACCCGGGAGCCCTGAGACCTTGGCTCAGCCTCCTCCTCACCGTGCGCTCCGCCCTACTCTCGCCTCCTCTGGGGGTGAAAGGGGGGGGAGGTGCTTCTCCTTAGCTTCTCCACCCGCGTTTTCTAGTCCCCTTCTCAACCACCTTTGGAGAGCTCACGCCAGCTCCCTTGCCGCTTCTTCTGGAGCTGAAGCAGCGCCTGCTTCCATTGTGTGCCACGCGTGTTCGTGGAGCGCCGCTGGCCAGGGACAGCCGGCTGATCGACGGCCTGAGCCGGGTGTAGGGAGCGCGTGGAGAGCTGTGCCTGGTCCTTTATAGAGAGTGTCCTCCTGTGACATCTCTCATTACCCTGTATCTTGTTTGTACATACTAGTTTGTTTGCCGGCTGTCTTTCATTAGCCTGTGAGCTCCTCGAGAGCAGGGACTGTTATTTTTTTTTCCTTTCTTTGCATACCCAGCGCTTAGCGCTGTGCCTCACACGTAATAAGCAATTAATAAATGCTTGCCGACTATCTGATTAGGGGACTTTAAAAGTGTGTGTGTGTGTGTGTGTGTGTGTGTGTGTGTGTGTGTGTGTGTGTGTCGTGGGGGAGAGGGACCAAGATCCCTGGGACCCGCCCTGCCTCGTGGCCCCTTCTAAGACTAATTCAACTATTAGCAAAGGGCTGGCTTTATCTCCTGCCCCTCTCCACACCTCCAAGAGATCATGGGCGAAAGGGGAGAGTAAAGGCTAACTTCTAGTGCAGAGACGAAAGGATTGGCCTAGGCAAAGTTGGTCAGTTAGTTGGGCTGGGCTTCTTCAACTTGAGGAGGAGGGGGGCGGGAGGTCTTCTGTTCCCTGATGTTTACAATTATGTTTCGGGGAGACTGAAGCCCCTACACAAACCAAGATTTCTATGTGCATGCAAACCACACGAACTACAGACTACGTCCAAAACTTACCCCCTCTTGCGGCCACTTCTACCCTAGCGCTAAAAATAAATCCTTTTTTTGGCTAGCACACTAGCTAACCAAGATTTGGGTCCGATCTCTCAAGGCAGGTCAAAAGGGAGAGGTTAGAACTTGACGACTGGCCTGAAGCAGTGGGGAAGAGGTCCCCATCTTGTCCTCATATTTGGAGACCTCTCACTTAATTTGCATACCAAGATCTACGAAATTGCCCTAAGTTTATCAAAGAAGGCTGTTAGCTCAAAAGACAATGCAAAACAAAACAAATAGAAAAAAACCCCCAAAACCTCTTTCCTGACTCTTTTTAAGCTGGATGTTTAAATCAACAAGCAATTGTTAAGCGCCTACGTGCTCAAGGGAAACCCTGGGGCATAAAAATAGAACAGCCCCTTTCCCCACATTAGGCCCTAGTAGAAGAACATAACACATATACAAGTAAATGCTAAGTAATATCAGGTGGGTTAGGGTTCTGATTGAGGGAATCAGGAAAGGGAACATGTGACAGCCTAAGAGAAAATTGAAGGAAGCCAGGAATTCTACAAAGTTAGGCATGGACTGCCTTCTAGAGGGAAGCCAGCAGGCCAGTTTGATTAGAACAAAAAATGGAAATGAAATAACAGGGGAAAAGTAGGTGGGAGTCAGATTGTGGAAGCTTTCATTTAATGCCAGCCCGAGGAGTTTATCCCTAGAGGCAGCTGTGAAGCATTGAAGATTTTTGAGTAAGGGGGATTACATGGAGAAAAGTGACTTACAGAGTCACACAGATATTAAGTGTCAGAGCTGAAATTTGACACCAGGTTTCTCCATACTCCAAATCCAGGGCTCTTTCCAGTACAACCAGAGTATTAACAAACCCTATGTTCTCTTCCCACCCTATTTTGTGACCTGGGTTAAACCTTGTAAAAGTCAAGGTAGATTCTTTCCTGTCATTCATATCATAGAATCATAATTTAGAACTTGAATGGATAGTAGAAATCATCTGGTCGGAGGGTTCTTAACCTGGGAACTGGGAATTTGATTTAAACACACATACCACACACACACACACACACACACACACACACACACGCACTTTACTTCAGTATAATTGTTTTTACTTATAATCCCAGGTAGTTTACTGTTTTCTTTAAAAGCATTATTCTTAGCAGAGATCCACAGGCTTCACCAGACTGCCAAAGGGGTCCATGACACAAAAGAAATCGAGAACCCCTAATATACTCCAACCTCTTCATTGTACAGATGAGGAAACTGAGGCCCAGATAAATAAAGTATCTTGCCTAAGGTCATACAGGTAGTAAATGACAGTTAGAATCTGAACCTAGCTCCTCTGACTCCAAACTTAGCAGTCTTTCCAAAGTATCACATTGCCTTCCTATGTCTTTCTAATAAATCGTACTTCTAATTCACTGATCACCAGCCCTTGCTTTATGTAGAGCCTACAGTGCTTTTGGAGTATATGGGATGTTTGAGGAGGAGTAGCACCTCTGGTTTGAGGGCTTGATGAGCCACTTTCAGGGTTGCTCATTCACGTTTGGTGTTAACCTGTCACCCAACTCTCACCTATGGCTCCAAGGAGCTGTAGTATTTGCCACAACCCTGTAAAACCGTCTTGGCTGATAGGCTAAACTATATTGAGGGTAACCAACAGGCCTCAAACCTGTCATTGAGTTAGGGAGATGTCTACCCCAAGCATATGAAGACTTTCCCTGGCTGAATAGGTAGATGAAAACAATTTGTTCCAATGGCCATGAAGGCAACTGAAGAAGTCGCTGTAGTGATCACACATTGAAGATGCTAAGGTAATCCACTGTACCTTAGGCCATAGCCAGTCATCTTGACTTTTGTCCCATCACTGGACTTCAGTGACTCAGGAAGAGAGTAAGTCTGTGACTTTTTGAAGCTCTGCCTCACTTAAATTCAATTCACAAGAAAGTCGAGACATCACCATGTGATGTCATTGGCCCTCTTCAAAAAATGAAGGATGAACAACAGTTACTTGAAGGGAAAAGGAGGGAGAAGGGAGTGCCAAAAAAAAAAAAAGGAACACCAGGTCAAAATATATTTATTTTATTTCATTATTCTCTTTTAGAAATAAATTAATACAAAGTTACTCCCCTACTAAATGAAAGGATGTGTTCAAGTTTATAAATTGGTTGTAATTGGTTCTTAGTTTCCCAGGCAACCCATAAAAGCTTATCTAATTGACATTGTAGCTACTTTCTAGTTCTGATGATACTAAAAAGCCTGAGTCCTAGGGCTTGTGGGGCTGGAGGAAGAAGAGAGCTTCCTTCCTTCCTTATTTCCTGGCTACAGGGCTGGTCTAAGGCAGAAGTTCAAAATGCAAGGCCTTAGCGTTTGGCATCTTCCCAAAGAAGAGGCATTCTGGTATAGTGGGAACATGCTGGACCTGGGGTGGTAGGGAGGGCAGGAGAGGAGGCACCCTAATACCTGGGTGCAAAGACTCACACTTATCACCTGTGTGATTCTTGTCAAGTCATTTAACCTCCCTTGACTGTAGTTTCCTTCTCTATAAAATGAGGAGTCAGATTATAAGACCTTGAAGTCCTCTTCCACCCCCAAAATCTATGAGCTGATGGCCTCAGAGACAAAGAAGGAAATAATGTTATTGTTTAGCTGTATCAGTCTTGTCTGACTTTTCATGACCCCATTTGGAGTTTTCTTGGCAAAGATACTAGAGTGGTTTGCCATTTCCTCTCTAAGGCTCATTTTACAGATGAGGAAACTGAGGTAAACAGTGTTAAATGACTTGCCCCAAGTCACAAAACTAGTAAATATCTGAGGCTTCCTGACTTCAGGCCCAGTACTCTATTCACAGAGCTACCCCAACCTACCCAAGAAAATAATAACAGTTAAGCTCATTCATGATAATATATAGTGACTAAGAGTCCCTTAACCCTTCCAGAATACTTTAGTTTTAGGGTTTTGTTTTGTTTTGTTTTAAGGTGATTTTGTTGGCCTAAATGAGTAAATATAATTACAAGCAGCTTAACAAAGTAAAAAGAGACCAACATAAAAATAAGTTGGAAGTCTCTGCTTCAGAAACTGCTTTCAGCATCAGGTCCCCTTACAGAACAGGTGCTTTTTCCTACATCTTCTCTTCCTCTGCTTCCAAGCCCATATACATTCTCTAAATGTTCCAAGTTCTTTACAAGGGCTGTGGCCACAGAGACTGTAGCATGGCCATTTGTAAATAGGAGGTCTCTTAGTAAATTCAGTGCTTGTCAGTTAAGGGCTGCCTTAACAGCACTTGGTAGGATGGACAGGGGGTGTTACCATGGACTCAACCACAAAAGTTTATTTTTGTTGCTTTAGAGTTATAGTTCCAAACATAGCTTTTCTAAATGACCGTGCAGGGCTGACTTGGAACTATCTGCTCACAGCTCCTTGTTGAAGATTTTTAAACTCAGGATACACCTTTTGTCTTTCCTCTTTGTTCATGTCCTAGTAGTACAGTGAAAAGAACATTGGCTTTAGAGTTAAAGGATCTGGATTCGCATTCCATAAATGAATGAATCAGTCATAAATTGCGCTGTCATTACAAAAATGAACCTTTTCATCTGCTAGGTGTTATATTAAATGAGGTTTATCTGTGTGGCCTTGGGCAGGTCATATCATCTCTTGGGCCTTAGTTTTCTCATCTGTAAAACGAAGGGGTTAGACTAGATGACTTCAAAGTTCCCTTCCAGTTCTGAATCTATGAACCTGTGATCCCATTATAATGTGCCAGCTAGCTTTACTTGTCTTGTGTGTGTGTGTGTGTTATACTCATCCCTATATCTATATTTCCACCTACAATACTTTTTT